CACCTTTGAGTCTTCTGGTCCCCTCCCCTCTTCCACTGCCTGACACTAAAACTGCTGAATCTCCAAGCTGCTATCTCTCCAAACAATCATACTCCACATTCATTCACTCCCTCCCTCCCTCCCCCCTCCGCCCCAGGAACTACACAATTATTTCACACTGGGATAAGGGATGTAACTGTCCATACAAAAGATATACAACAGTTTCTATTAGTGCAAACTTGTCATATTTTCTTTATAACACAATCCATATTCCAAGTACTTCTAAAAGCAACAGTGTGATTATGCCAAATCACAAGGATCTTTCTGATCTCTTGACATCAGGCACAAACACCAGCAGTTTTATTAAGGGCCTAAAAGGCTTTTCTTCTCCGTTCACCAGAGAAGGGGGCTGGCAGAGTTATGATTGTTTCACATTTATTCTCACACTACCCATTAAGCACATTACATAAAACATTATAAAATTCTGTAGTCGACACACAACACTTTCCAAAGCAGAGCCTGGGAGCTTTGCTAGACACTAAACATCATGGGGGAAAATAAAGGCCCTGGGTCAACGGTTTATTACAACAGTCTGTAGCCCACTAACCCCCCTGTGTCCCGTGTCTACAGGGGGCTGGCTGATGGATCACTCACTTCCCCTTGAATGGTCCTTTAGAATAGACTCAGACTGTCTGCTTGATCTGGGATTTAGCTGCCTGCAGTGAGTGCCATCCCCAGATCTGAAGCAGAGCCTGAAAGCTTGTCTGTCTCCCCAGCAGAGGAGGGACCAATGAAGACGTTACCTCACCCTTTTTGCCTCTCTCATTGCACCCCTGCAGCTGCATGAACGTCCCACTTCTGTGAGCCCCCATGCAAACTTCTACCTCTCAGCCCCAATCCAGTACCACAAGCGAGTAAACCCATTTCAATCAATGGGGCTGCTCGTGTGTTTAAAATTAAGCCTGGCTTTACGTGGCCTCTAACCACATGCAGGTATCCCTGGCTGAGCTGATCACCCAGTGCAGCAATCCAGGAGACACAGCTGGCTGCTATGGTTGTGCTGCAGCAGAGTGACTTCATAGAACCCCAGGGCTGGAACAGACCTCAGGGGTCATTGAGTCCAGCCCCCTGCCCAGAGCAGGATCAGCCCCAACTCAATCAGCCCAGCCAGGGCTTGGTCCAGCTGGGACCTAAAACCCTCTAGGGATGGAGATTCCACCCCTCCCTAAGGAACCATCCCAGGGCTTCACCACCCGCCTAGGGAAATAGTTTCCCCTAATATCCAACCTAGACCTCCCCCACTGCAACTTGAGACCATTGCTCCTTGTTCTGCCATCCGTTACTACTATGAACAGCCTTTCCCCGTCCTCTTTGGAGCCCCCCTTCATGTAGCTGAAGGCTGCTATCAAATCCCCCCTCTCTCTTCGCTTCTGTAGGCTAAATACACTCAAATCCCTCAGCCTCTCCTCATAAGTCATGTGCTCCAGCCCCTCTGAGCATTTTCATTGCCCTCCACTGGACTTTCTCCAATGCGTCCACATCCTTTCTGCAATGCGGGGCCCAGAATTGGACGCAACACTCCAGATGTGGCCTCACCAGTGCCAAATAAAGGGGAATAATCACTTCTCTAGATCTGCTCGCAATGCTTCTCCTAATGCACCTCAATATGCCCTTAATTTTCTTGGCTCCAAGGGCACACTGTTGACTCATATCCAGCTTCTCATCCACTGGAATCCCAGGAGTTCAGCCAAAGAATTTTTCTATAAACTGCCTGGCATTTCGCTCCCTTCCCCAGAAGGTGGGGAGAAGCTGTCCAAGTGCTGAAATTGGCCCCCAGGCCCTGGGGCTTGTGGAGGGTTTGCTTACTTTCATTTTAAAATGAGATCAGCTGATCTGTAAAGTGGGCCGCTGATGCCTCTTCAGGTCTGGCAATTCCAGTTTCTTTGCAGCTAACTCCACTTACAAGCAGTTCCCTGACAGCCCACAGAGATGGTGGAAGTTAAAATACACATCAGGAGCTCCCGGCAAATTCCCATCCCAACCTTCAGGGTCAGGAACCTCAGGAGCTAGAGAATCAAAGCAGAACTGAGGCTGGCTTCTTTCCTACCCTGATAACCTCCCATCCCATCTCCAGTTATTTTCAGCTCCAGCAATTTCTGACCATTGGGGTCTCCTAGGCTGTGTCTAGACTGGCCAGTTTTTCCAGAAAATCAGCCGCTTTTCCGGAAAAGCGTCCGTGGCCAATCTAGATGCGCTTTTACGCAAAAAAAGCCCCGATCGCCATTTTCGCGATCGGGGCCTTTTTGTGCAAAACAAAGCTCAGCTGTCTACACTGGCCCTTTTGCGCAAAAGGGCCAGTGTAGACAGCTGAGCTTTGTTTTGCACAAAAAGGCCCCGATCGCGAAAATGGCGAACGGGGCTTTTTTTGCGTAAAAGCGCATCTAGATTGGCCACGGACGCTTTTCTGCAAAAAGGGCTTTTCCGGAAAAGCGGCCGTGCCAATCTAGACGCTTTGTTCCAAAAATGCTTTTAACAGAAAACTTTTCCATTAAAAGCATTTCCGGAAAATCATGCCAGTCTAGACATAGCCCTACAGTTTTCCTTCTAATTTTTTAAGCCCTAGTGTGGGATGAATTTTGTTACCTGCACCAATATGGAGCTGGTGTGGGACACAGCTCCTCTGTATTGGCGCACATAATTAACTCCATTCTGCACATGAACAATCTGTGGTGGAGGTGGGGCTAAGGGGTTTGGAGTGGGGGAGGGGTCTCAGGGTTGGGGGGCAGGCTCTGGGGCGGGGCTAAGAATGAGGGGTTTGGGGTGCTGGATGGGGCTCAGGGCTGGGGCAGAGGGTTGGGGTGCAGGTGTGAAGGCTATGAGTGGGGGTGCAAGATCTGGGCTAGGGCTGAGGATGAGGGCTCCCCCCAGTCCTCTCTCAGCACAGCAGCTCTGGACCAGGTGAGCGGCACCTCTCTGCCGGCCGTGGCAGCTCCGGCGAGGGTGGGCCGGGGGAGGGAAGCCTCTCTCCTGGGTTGAGCAGGCTTGTGCTTCTGGGGCCTGCGGGTGGGGAACTTTGACAAGGCGCTTCTGCCCCAGGCACAGCAGCTCTGTGGGTGGCAGCCCCTGTGTAGCTTCAGCCTCCTACGCTCCCTCCAGAGCTTGCCCAGCAGCCAGAGACCTAGAGCCACTGCAGCTGCCATTTGCTTCCTATTGCTCCTGGCTGGCGTGTCGGCGCTCTCAGACGCCACACGGGGAAAGCCACGGCATGGGTGGGATTCCTCAGCAGCTGTGCAGCTTTCACAGTCACCCACCCCCTTGCACTAAATGACCCTTGGCTGGCAGAGAGGCGAGGCCAAGCAGAACAAAGGGGGTGTTAGCTGAGTTTCCATTAGTGGTGCGGCACAGCCTGGTGACGGGGGGCTTCAAAGGTCACCCACATTTTGTTCCACCCAACAGATCTTTGGTTGGTTAGGCCGGGGGATGTGGGTGGGAATTGGTGTTTGGTGGGAGCACGTGTCTAATTGCTAGAGGTCTCTGGTTCAGATCCAGCCCTTCCCCCACACTCACACCCCTCCCAAGCTCGCCTCATACACCATCTCCACCCCCCAAGCCTTTCCCACTAATCTGCACTCCCCCTCCCCTGTTAGCGCCTCTCCTTCTCGCTTCCTTATCTGACCATTGCTGGGGTAGGACGCAGCACACACAGAACCCAGCCCATGCCTCCTGCCCCGCGTTCCTCCCTGCACCCTCAGCACCCATCAGCCACTGCCCAGAGCCACCTCAGAATCTCGCGCCCAAGAGGAACGGAATCCAGCCCCCCTTTCGGATCTGGACCCCCAGGGCAGACTGGGGCCTTCTCTGCTACAAATCAGAAGTCGGCTGGGTGGCCCTCTGCCGTCCTCGGGGTATATCTGCACTGCACGGCTCTGCGCCGAGGCTGTGTCGACCCTGGCGCTAACCGTTTGTCTGGACGCTGTTTGTCAGCACTTGCACCCCTGGGAGGGTGGGTCTCACGTTGTCAGCCAACAAAGCAGCGTTCACGCTAGCACTTGGGCAAAACTGTGTCGTTCATGGGGGTTTTAAAGCATCTGTGAAGGACAAAAGTTTTGTCCATCAAGTGCAAGTGCAGACAGACCTCAGCATGGGACTTTGTCTGCACCGGCAATTGAGGGAGAAAGATTTTGTCTTCACAGGTACTTAGCCACCTTCCCCTTTGCCTCCGCAGGTGCTAGTGTGAACAGGGCTCCCTCAGCAGGAGTGCTCTCCAGCCAGCAAAGCACACACAGCTCCCGGGGGGCGGAAGCTTTGGTCTGCAGGAGTGGGGACAAACCGTGTTTACAGGGCCTGACTTTTAGTGGTCCTAGTTGGGAGCAAACTTTGCGCTGTTCTGAGCCCTGTCCCGTCCTGCTGATCTGCTGCCCCCTCCTGGTCGCTTTGAAAACTGCAGGGAACCAGGCCATGGAATTTGCTTTCCAGGCAAGAAGAAATTCTTCATGGGAGAGCTGAAGGTGGGAAGCCCTTCTGAGCGCTGTCACAGCTGAATCGGTGGGAGGGCAAAGGCCTAGCTGCCTTCGCCAGTCCCCGCCCTGCAACCAGTGCAGAAAACCCAAACAGCTGGGTCTTGGCCAGAGGGCCTGCCTCCTCCCCAGGAGCTGGCTGCAGGGCCCAGAGACACAGGAGCAGGCAGGACCTGCCTGGTGCCACTCACTACAGGAAAAGGACCCTGCCAGGTGCACTCGCCTGACCCTCAAGAACAGCCCTACACTCACACCTGGGCTGTGGGAGCCCCAGCAGGGTGACACACCCGTTTCCATGGTAACGCTGTGGGGTGCTGGACCTCACACCGTCACTGGAGAACACTTTCACTTTCAGATGCTGCTCCTAGGCCCGGGGGAACGGTTCAGCCAAACCGGGCACTGGGATCCAGCCATCTGCCAATCCCCCACCGTCTGGAACCTCAGCCCCGGACCTGAGTGTCCCGCTCGCTTGGCCCCCTCTGGCTGGGGTGGGACGTAGACGGCAGGGCCCCAGCTGCAGGGGGAGATGGGTCCTGGCTCTCTGCATGGCAGGGAGCATGTGCTGACCCAGGCGTGATCTCCCAGCTTGCCTAGGAGCCAGGGAGTCAAAGAGACAGGAGTAGCCCCATCGGCCGGGACAGACATGTATTGGGACAGCCAATCAGGAGGGGAGCCGCATGCTGCCCCTGGAGCCGGCTGGGGAGAAGGCAGGAGGAGAGGGGAAAACAAACTCCCGGTCGCTGGGCTCCTTTGCAGGGGAGGGAGGAGGAGGAAGATCTTCCAGGCTGGCCCCCAGGGGCATGGTCTCACTGGCAGCTGCGGCGCCAGGGGCTCTGGCGGGTGAGCCCAGCACGCCAGCCAAGGCAGAGGCGCTGGCCCCCAGAGGGAGGGTGTCGCGGGAAGCTGCAGCGTCAGGGGGACCAGCTGCGTAGGAGCCTCCGGGTGCCTGCTCCATGCCAGCCCCTGCTATGGCAGCCGGGGGGAGAGGCCAACTGGCAGATGCAGCAACATGGGGAGCTGCAGCCGTGTAGAAAGCTCTGGGTGTCTCCACCCTGCCAGGCCTCGCATATGGGCTGCTGGCCAGGGGCAGGGTCTTGCTGGGAGAGGCAGCAGCGTCGGGGGCCACAGCCGCATAGGAAGGGCTGCAGGCCAGGGGGAGGGTCTTGCCAGCAGGTGCAGCAGCATTGGGGGCCATGTTCACGTAGGTAGGGCTTCCGGCCAGGGGGAGGGCCTTGCCAGCAGGTGCAGCAGTGGGGGGCCCCACAGTTGCATAGGAATGGCTGCTGGCCAGGTAGAGGGTCTTGCCAGCAGGTGCAGCAGCGGCGGGGCCCATCGTCATGTAGGAAGCTCTGGGTGTTTCCACACTGTCAGGCAATTCGTATGGGTTGCTGGCCAGGGAATAGGTGTTGTCAGCAGGTGCTGCAGCGGCAGGGCCCACGTTCACGTAGGAAGGGCTTCCGGCCAGGGCTGCAGCCATGTCAGGGCCTCTGGCTCTGTCCTGCAGGACGTCTCCAGCCGATGCAGGCCTGGCCCGTCGGAAGGCCTTTCTGGCAGCCGCAGCAGCCTTGTGGAGCCAGGCTGCACAGGGGGCTCTGGGTGCACGCGCGGCTGCTGCCGTCGCCGTGGCAGTTCCAGTCCTGGCCAAGCCCCGCGGGGACTGTCTCCGTTTCTGGCGGCAGCGATGGCACCAGAAGCAGGCCCTGCTCCGAGGAGGGAGAAGCTCAGGGCACTGTGTCGGGGGCGGGAGGGGGGAGACGATGCAAGGAACCAGCCGCACACAGACTGTGGCCAGCCCCTGTACATCACCTCCCTGCTTCCCAGAGCACTCACAGGCTGAGCCAGGATCCCCAAGCCATGCTCCGCCCAAGCACCCGATGCACTGCACCCCACACACGAGCAGGGGAGCGAGACGGAGCAGGGACCCAGGCCGCTCTGAGCCGGCTGCCCACGAGACCCAGGTCCAGTATGCAGGTGCTTTGCGCTCCTGCAGTGGCTGCTGGCTGAATGGGCTGCCATGCCAGGGCAGCGGGTGGACTGGCGGGGGGCAGCCAGCAGGAGGCAGCCCCAGGTGAGTGGCTGGGAGGGAGTCTTGAAGGTTCAGGGCTTGGCAGCGTCTTCCTAGAGTCTTCTCCTTCCCTCCCTCCCCCCTTGCAATGGCCAAGGCAGCTCCCAAGATTTTCTCACCAACAGGCCCCCTGTGCCTCTGCCCTGAACAGCATCCCTCACCCCCTGTGAAAGGGAGATGGGTCCCCCGGGGGCAGCTGAGGGCCCTGCCCCCACAGCCCCTCTCCTGCGCAGAGGGGCACCCTGGCCGTCTGGGCCTGTCCCAGGGAACACGGGCCAGGAGAAGGCGCCCCGGCCCGCCCAGACTCACAGGATGATGAGGCAGGAGCAGCCGAGTGGCGGCAAGAGGATGAGCAGGACCATGACGGGGATCCGGAGCGGGAGGGGGACTGCAGGGGCGACAAAGAGAGCTCGTTGGCGGCGAGGGAGGGAGGGACTGTGCAGGGTGATGCTAGAATAGCTGGTTCGGGAGGGGGACATGAAGGGGCGGGGAAAGCCAAAGAATCATAGCAGGGAAGGGACCTCCAGAGGGCATCAAGTCCAGCCCCTACCCTCACGGCAGGACCAAGCACTGTCTAGCTCATCCCTGACAGATGTCTATCCAACCTGCTCTTAAATATCTCCAGTGAAGGAGATTCCACAACCTCCCTATGCAATTTGCTCCAGTGTTTAAACCCCCTAGGGGGGGCAGTCAGAGGATACAGTAACATCCTGAGCCCCCTGCTGCAAGCCAGCCCAGCCCCCTCATCCGCTTGGCACGGGGCAGGTAGAGATGGGGGGCAGGGCTGGTGTTATCACACTGGGGGTGAATAAAGAGCAGAGGCCTCACCCGGGGGTAGTGACAGCAAGGGGGACTGGGGTTCCCTGACCCCCTTGGGGAATCAGCTGCCCCCAGAGTGTGTGTGTGTGGGGGGGAGGAGACCGGAGTTGCCTGTTGCCACAGTAACCCTGGAGGGTGCAGAATGGGATCCGCAGAGAAGGGTTTCAGCCAGTCAGGTCTGACTGCAGCGCTGCTCTGGGGTGGCAGAGGAGAGACCCCCAAGCCTCTCCCCTCCCAGTGCCTGCCCCGATACAGTAA